TTAAATAATGTATATGGCTTGTATTATATTTATTATGGATGTATCTTTTGTATTAGGCTATGATTAAACCATTTGAAAACCTTAGAATAGGACATTTCTGTGGAACAATGGTCTTGGGTTTAGACTCTTATCCTTTAGACATCAGAAACGATAAAACCTTTAACTAGAAAATAAACTGTAATTAGCTAAATTAGATTGTCATGGTTGTCAAATCGGTTTAGAACTACAAGAAATAGGTTTGTTTCCAAGGACCATTTCATTCGAAAAATAGTCGAAAACCCCTATTTTCGATGAATTTCCAACCAACCAAATGTCGTCGGAAAAGCGTTGTTGGAAATTTTATGTGGTCGGATTTTGGTCAGAATTTCCTAACTACTTTCGTGGTCAGGTGGTCAAAAATAATCGTCAGAAAGTGGTCAAAAATTATCGACCAAATCCCAACCAAGTTCCAACAAGTTCATCCCYACCGATTTTTCGACCATAGTATCTCGACGAATTTCTGACCAAAGTTTTTTGACGGATTTTCGACTATTTTTTCAATTAGAAAAAATAATTTCATTTAAAACAATTTATTAAAACCTAATTCAAATTAAAATATTTAAATTAAAAGATTCATAGTTTTGAAATTTAAAACATAAAAAAGGTCTTTGCATAAACAAACATAAAACATCATTTTGAAAATAAGCATGAAATGCAAAACGAAAATGAGATTAATCTATTCTTGAGTTTCGTCTTCATCTGGTGGAGAGTGAAACTCTTGACACTTGTCTACCACTTTCCTCGCCAACTCTTCCAAATATTTGATTGATTTATCTTTCACGGCCTTATCTCTCTTTAAGGTCGCAATATTCTCGGTTGTCGTCTTCAATTGCTCTTCTAGTTCTGAGCTTGATGAGAAAGTAGTTGAAGAAATGACTTCTTGACCTATATCAGGAAGTGTACAAAACCCTAAACAACAACCTTTAACCACGGGTGTTTCCTGAAAAATAAGCCAAAAACATGTAATTGAAAGTGTAATACGTTTCAAAAATTTAAACTAAGTTGGGCACATAAATTGACTTACCATTTGTACTACATT